TACGCACTTTTTTATTTACAACTTGGGGGTCCCCCCTAACATTTACACCAGACCTAAAGGGTCCTGGTATTGTTTGGGAGAGGGACCCAACGCCGCTTTTGTTTAAAAAAAAATTATTTGTTTACATTTGCGGGGAGAACGGTCAGCTTCGGCATATGCTTGGGCTCGGCTGAGTGCTTCGGCTGCCTTCAGCTGCTGTATGGACTATTGTGAATAGCCCATACTGTAGCACTTCGGTTAAACTGAATTGAAGGGTTCCTGCAGCCGAAGCAGGCTGAAGGTTTAGTTGAACCTATGGCTAAATCCTTCTGCTCTTTCTTGAATAACCCCCTAAGTATTCCATGACACTGTATGTTAAACACATTCCCCATCTAATGTATTCTGCATGGTAAAATGTAAAAAGTTCAGTCAATTTAGAGACAATGGTGGAATGGAAGGAAATATGAATGTAAGCTGATCACCACTCATCTCTACAAAAATCCAAAGTAGGAAAAAAATGATTCATTAATTAGCATCAGTGTTTAAAATAAGCAAATTCGTCATGACCATCTGAAATTATATTGATGTTGTGTTACTAGAGTGAAAGGTGAGAGCAGATTTATTGTTGATATCCTATGCTTTGGTTTACATAGACTTGTGTCTGGCGGGCTTGATGAAATGTGGCTTGTGGTTACATCCATTTGAATAGCAAATTGGGAATGTGATATTATTTAAATTCCCTAAGAAAGAAGCAGTTGTGGTAAACCTGCTTGGAAAGACACAAAAAATGAGATATAATTGCAGATTAAACAATAACATATGGTGCTAGTTGTTATGCACAATATTTGACATTTCAAATTATAATGAAAATTTAAATGTCTATAGATTTAAATACTAGAATGAAAGCTCCTTAATGTACATGAAGAAAAGTTTGTAGGATTTCCAAGTCACAAACACCTACAGACCAGATTGTATAACCAGTGCTGATCTGAGGGAAATGGTACACTTGGCTTGGAGACGTATTTAACACATCCTAAAAATGTGCTAGTTTGTATGATGTAGCATACTTGAAACCTCAAATAAGTGATTCCTTTAGGCAAATATTAAAGCATGCAAATCCACTTATGTATTCAGGCAAAAACAAATTTGGAGAAAGGCACGTCAATGTTAAAAATTATGTTTGTTATACTGGGCCAACAGTGCCAGATTTACTATCAGGCACACATAGGTCTTTGCTAGAAAAGCAAAGTAGAAAAGGAGTGCATTCTAATGTTTTTTTTCCTTTCTTTGTTATATTTTCTTAATTTTTTTTCCTTGATCTGGTTCCTAATGATTACTGGTTGCTTACGACAATATGCATTGTACCCAGTCTTTATCTTATTTAAAACAGGTAAGCTAGACTAAAGGCAGTGGAGGGCTAAATGTTAGTGGTCTTGGTGGGGAAAGCAAGCATACAATATACAAACAATAATATGTATGCAAAAATAAAGGTCTGTGGGAGATTATGGGAATTAAAGCACATCTAAAGAGACATTTATTTTTTGGGATAGAGTGGCGACCACTATGATCTCCTCTGGCATAGGACGAGGCTGCCCAAGGCCTTTGACTCTAAGTATTAGTTGGCCTTCACCAGAGCTCCATATAGTGGAGATGGGCTAGAAACTCTAGCGGTTCCCAGAACTTTTCACTGCAACTGGCACTAGGTCACGTTGCCTGGTATTGTGCCACAAGGGGGATAGCAGGTATAGGAAGGCAGGTATAGGAAGGCTGTCCCTACATTGCAGAGACAGGAGACCAGAGCTTTGTCGTTGGCGGGCAACAAGCAGAGGGAAGTCAGACAGTCCAAGTTGGTAATGAGTAGGCAGTAAACTAGGCTGGAGACAAGTGTGTAATCAGGTTCAGTCAGTGGTTTTGGCAAGCAGCAAGCAAAGGGTAGTCAGACACTCTGGGTTGTCAACAAGAAGGCAAAAGGCAAGAGAATAGTCAGGCAATCTGCGTCAGCAACAGGTATTAGGCTTTAGTATCAATGTTCTCACAGGTAGCCGGTTTGAAGGCTGGAGCTTAAATATCCTCTGGATCAGAAGATATACCTAAAACCATTTAAGGAAACTCCTGAAGTCCTGGCAGGGATTCTGGGGGTACCGTTGGAAGTACTGACAGGGTTCAGAAGTGTTGTGATACGGAAAACCCTGTAATTTTTTTGTGGTCTTTTTTTTCTGATTGGGTCCCAGAGACACAACAGGAAATGAGAGAAAATATCACCAAAGGAAATCCTCTTTTAGACTGTGGAAAAGGTGTCCCTATTGGTAAATTTCCTCTCACCTCCCCTACCAAGCAACAACTGTAAATTCTCCCTTCACTTTCTGTCAAAATGACAATGTTCACTATATGACAATTCTAAACAGAGACCACAAAAAAATCCTATCCTATCCAAGATTAGTGGAATCCAATTAGGCCTCCTTATGTTAGAAATATAATTATTTTCCATCCCTGGAGCTGTTAATAGCACCATAAAAATATATTTTTTCATAGGATTAGAGGTTCTAAAGGCCTAATGAACATTTGTTTTAACTAGAAATGCTTATAGTTCCATGTATTCCTCTTTTAGGTATATCAGTAAAAAACTAGCTATAAATTGGAAAATTAAAGTGTATGTAAACCCTAACAATGAACCTCTCTTGTTTGCTCCCTTTGAACTATTATATACTGTAAACTGCTAAATACATTTTATTATATAAGGCTTATAAGAGCAAGCAAAATAACTGTTGATCATGCCAGGAATCTATTGAGCTGATAACTTATGAAGATGAGTAGGAAGTGTTCTTGAAGTCCTAACACACTTCTTATCCTAGGATGACAATGCTGCTTCTCTATAGATACAGTATAATACAATAAGTAATCATTGTGACCCTAGGAAAGGAACTGTGTCACTGGCAGGATCTCTAGATGAAAAAAGCTGGAAAAAAGAAAACTGATGCAGTCACAACATCTAATGATTGGTAAGCTGCAAAAAATTAAATGCTTGTTCTTGGCTTTAGATATGCTTTAATAATGCACATATCATGATTCAGTAATGACTTTATGAGTGGTTTTAGAATTCAGAATTGAGTATATTGAGTGTGAGCAGGTTAATTTGCTAAGTGCTGGCAAATTAATCTGTCATTAATTAGTCATTACATAATGAGAACTACTTAGCTATTGAGCTCAAATGGCAAAAACAGCATGGGCAGCCAAGATGCCAGCACTTGAAAAGTGTTAAGACTCTATTTAGACCACTTAAAATTAAATTTTTTATTAAATACCAAAAGTGGCTTCCTATTTAAAATTTGGTCATACAACACTGCTTTAAATTATTGCATGGAGAAAATGCATTTTCTTAATTAGCCTTCTAGGATTCTGACCATAATGGCTTATTTGGGACATTGTCCCTATTTGCTTATGAACATTTCTGCATGATCGAGAAAATAACATCAGGGACTTTTATATAACATCAACATATCTGTATAAATGGATATATTTTCTATTTTAGTACAATTTCAGATATTATCAAGTCATAGAAGGTACTATATCACTCATTAGGTGAGAGTATAAATTCATTAAACAATAAACAGTGGCATCCTGAATAAAATGAAGTAATCTTGAGGCCGCACGTATCTTTGCACAAACTCCTTACCAATTTAAATCTGAGTCTCTCCAACATGAAAACTTGACTTCTGACAAAAAAGAGGTCTGCGGGCCACTCTGCACCTCCCTAATTGCTTATTGGACTCTTAGCCAACCCTCATCCTTAACAGTAAATTAGAAGTTGCAGAAAGTGAGAGGGAGAGGTCCAGTCCCCCGCTCTCCAAACATATATTGAGATACCACAGATTATTTTGATCTGAATGTTTCAAAAGATTGCAATCTGATTTTTTTCATTCATTTAAGGGTATCTATCAAGGGTCTAACAATCAATTGCTAATCCCAAGCACTGTAATATGACAAAAGGAGTGATGTCACAGATTCCTTACTGTGCAACAGCAGCCCACAGTGGGGATTCTGCTACTGTATCTAGCGCGGGTCTAACAATCAATTGCTAATCCCAAGCACTGACATATGACAGAGTGATGTCACAGATTCCTTACTGTCCAACACCAGCCCACAGTGGGGATTCTGAGCCCTCACGGGCAAGGCCCTCCTTACCATCTTGTCTTGAATTGTATTGTGATTGTAATGTCTTCCTTATAATGTAAAGCGCTGCGCCAACTGTTGGCGCTATATACATTCTGTATTATAATAATAATTCTGGTACTGGCTGTGTGATAGGACTTGGTTGGCAAGGTGATGATCGCTATATCAGAGGTGCCCCTTTACAAAGACACTATTACTTAGCCCTGAATGGGAAAGGTAAGAGTGTCTGTTTAAAGGTAACGGCCACCTTCAAAAAAAAAAGTAAATACACACATATTTATACAACAAAAAATGTGCATTTATTATTTTTGTTATATTGCAGCCAGTAAAGCATTGCAAATGTGGATCATGGGTGCAATGCTCTGGCTCCTGCGGACTCGACCTTTCTCTTCCTGCAGACTTTTCATGGGATGGGACATTACTGCACTTGTATTCCACTGAGCCGCAGTGGCAGATGGGTTTTGACAGATTTAAAAAACAGCAGCAGCCTGTGGAGAGAAGAACCCCATGATACGGGCAAGTGAGCGTGGCGGGATGGGAGTGGGGGGATGCTGATGTGACCATGTTTCATGTTACACCCTGAATATGGGTGTGAAATTAAATATGGCATAAAGGGTAAACTTAGCCCTTAACCATATATAATATGCCTTATTCTGTTGGTGGAAAACACAGTACAACATTCTACCACTCTGTATTTCTGTCTTTTTTACTCAACACTTTTCACATTTTCCTTGGCAACCGAATTGCTACATTTCCAATGTTAAATAAACTGATATCTTTTGATTTTTTTATTGAATGAGAACACATTGAAAATACATTAGAAAAATGACTCGGAGACAAAAGCAAATTATTTATCACACCCACAAAAATTATATTCTGTATTTCAGACAGCAAAGGAGAAAAAAGCAGCATATTTTTTTTCTACAAATACTTATATTACAGATTGTAACAGGCTTTGCCTCTTCTTACGGTCTCTTGCATTTCTTGCTGTATTTTCCAGTTGACAAATGTAGTATTATAGAGGTAGCAATAACTGCAGCTAGCAGGCCATCATTAATGTTTCAATCTAAATGGGTTCTTGTTCTGAGACAACTGACACTAAACAATATCCGTGGCACTAAGATCTATTTATCCTGACCTGCATTTTCCTCGCCGGTCTTGCTGCTGAAACCGTCTCAGTTTGTGTGCCCAAACATCACGCCAAGGCAGTGACAGGCTATTCTTATCCAGTATCAGACGAGCAGGATCTGGAGATTCCTCATCATTACCGATGATCAAATAAGACTTGCCTACTTGAACACGGAGGCAGTCACATGCCAAATCCTGATCTGGAACCCATATAGGTTGATCACCACGCCTGATGGGAACCCTCCGCTGTCTATATACTGTAAGCACGTTAGCTGTAAATTGCCACCATTCTCCAGATTTCTCCATAGACAGTAGCTGGGCCCGGAGAACTGTAAAATATAAAGTAGATAAAAAATAATCTCGTGTTTTAAAATATCATACTGGCAGAATGCTTGCTAAACTGGTATCAGTGGTTTAACATCAAGGGTACCAGAAATAGTGACTGTTACTTATGTCTCCAAACAGGGGGCACAGCTTGGACTCTTTCAAGAGTTATTGTCCTTACCTTTATCTTGTTATTTTGTTAGCTAAAGAGGCTTTCGTACTCACAAGGTTGTTATGCTGAGTATCTGGTTGCTTAGTAGGTACGTTAATAACAAAACTTTTCATGGCTGAAAATGCCAAGATGTTACAGAGAACTTTTATGACACAGAGATTTGAATCAAGTGTGGCACAGTCTACAGACTGTTGTATGTGATCAGTTCCACTGCAACAGCCCTTGGCTGCCATTTAAAACATTTTTAATGCACTAAGTCCTTTAATTTTCTTCTTTTTTGCTATTTATGCATTGTGGTGAACTGATTGTTTGTACTGTGGATTATTATGAACTATGTATTAAAGATCTAACCTTTATTATATTATAAATCTGAAGTCTTTCAACTATCACAGAATTCTGCTTATGAAAATGATATTTTCCTGCACTATTGAAATATATATAAAGCAATTTTTTCTTGCTTTGGCTAGAGTAAGGAAGTCATAAAACCACTGCCAGTGTAGTATTGCTGTCTGGGAAAGCAGTATTTTGATGGGGTTGGTACAGATTGTCTGGATACGGAGCTGGCAGCTTCTACACCCCAGAGGATTCAAAAGTTTTTTTGTTTTGTAGAGCAGATTTCACACTGAAGCACCATACCACAGATTGCTAGCCCATAGGCCATTTTATTCCAATATATAGACAGATTAAAGATCAAAAGAGGGAATGCCAATGCGTTTTGGTAGTCCAAAGATGCTCTTTATCAGGGCTACTATCAGGGTTACTAGTGTGATTTCAGGCCCAGATCTCATCAGCAGCTCGTTTGCATATTGTTTCCCTAATGAAAGGGGTGATGTATTTTGGCTCCCCAAATACATTGACCTTCCCATTTGTGGTCTTCTATCTGACCCTATACTGAAATAAAATTGTATCTGGACTAATAAACTGTCATGTGGCACTTCAGTTTTAAATATAAGGGTTTTTTCTTTCTGTCTGTGTCCCTTCTGGGAAGATCCACACTCTCTCTTTGTCCAGTTCACTGTTGTCTCCTGTGTAAAAAGTGATTGGAAATCCAAAATTGTAGAATAGAAAATCTTCCAGTGGGGATAACTGTCTGAGAGTGGTTTTTGCTCCCACTTTAGAGAGATTCCATCTGACTTCCTGTTTTGTTCTTGGAACAAAAAGCAAAGGGAAATCTCCTTAATGGGACACAAGACATAAAAAAACTGCACAGAGGTTTTAACCATTCCTTATTTTAACTATGGGAATAGTTAAATGCACTGAATTAGAGTAATATAATATGAGGTATAATAATATAATATAATATAATAAAATAATATATTAAAATAAAATATAATATAAGGCAGATTGCCAGTGATAAATAAATGTTTAGCTTTGAGCACCACAAATTTTAAAAAAGGTCCATTAAAATTTAAAACAAATCTGCAAAATTAATAAAACCTTAAAATACCACCCCTGAAACTAAAGCCCACTTTCAATGAAACCTTTCAGCAAAAAAAAAAGTTTGTTATACAGAAGAGCAGCTTAAGGTGACTGCTGACCTCAAATCAACCACAAAATAAAATGAAAGCTAAAAAAAAGGCAATGATACTAATACAAACGGTTTCTTAAAGAGCTAGCAATTAGAATTAAAGTGCATTACTTAACTGACGCATAATCTCTCCATATGCAGTTTGTCTCCTTTCTCTACAACAGCTTCCTATTCACTGACACTATGGGGTTGATTTACTAACCTTATAAACACGCCACGAACAAGTATACACCTCTGTAGTGTGTTCCCTCCCGGGATGATCTATTGGTGGAATCTAGACACCTTTGTAGTGTGCACACACCCAGCAGGTGTGTTGTGCAAAGCCCTGCATGAATTGCAAGGTGATGTTGTGTAAATTAGCTCTACGTTGTGTTGCTTGCGTTGATGAATGTAGGAATGTAAATGCATGAGCTAACCATTTTGTCTAAACTGTGAAGCAGCATTATATATGCATCATGTGCATGATTTTTCCATATACGGCATTAGTGGAAATATGCTTTTAGAGACTTTTTGGTTGATAAATACATTTTGCTGTGTGAAAATCACACGCACCTGGTGCGTGCGTGTGTTTAGGTTAGTAAATCACCCCCTATGACTTGTCTGTGTCCTCTTTATAGTTTCAAAAATGATCTGGTTTAATCTGCATATAAATGTGCAGTGAATCTCCTTCCTACAAATTTTGCTCTGAATCTATGGTAGCAGTGACCCCAAACATCATCCCTAGTTTTAAATATTGCTACTGATGCTTGTATCAGTCATATTAAGGACTAAAATAAGGTCATATAAAAGAGCCTAAAGGAAGGATATAATATTCCTAGTTATTCAAGTATACTTGTGGGAATCAGAGCTTATATAATTAAATACATTTCAACCCTTCAAAAAGTTGAAAATCCTTTTGGTGCCAGTGAAACACTCAAAGGTTTTTCAGCCAAGAAGAAATATGATGCAGCTTTTCGCTCAGTATTCCACAGGGATATCAGTACTCAAGTAGTGGTGGATTCCTATGAGCTAAGGTCCAAGTTGTTTCCTGTTATCCTACACTCATACAGATGAAGAATTTTGGAAACCATTTAATAAAATATGTGTTTAACTTATGCCAATGCAATTTTACATTACAATTGTCTTACAATATCTAGAACAGTCTTCCTTCTGAGACTGCATGCTGGAGGGCTCTGTAGTTTTGCTCTAATGTATACATACACCTTGGGTGGCTGCACACACTTAACCTGTGACCTCTTGCCTTTAATTTGAGCTGTTGCTCTGTTGCTCATCATTTGTTTGAAGACTGTTTCGTTTTATTGGTCTTGACATAAAGACGATCAATCTCAGAGACCTCTTTTCTTTGCCTCCTCTTTCTCTTACCACTGACTAGGACTTAAGGGCCCCTTATCCCTTTCATTACAGGCTGCTTGCCCTGGAACTCACTGTGTTTTAATGCACAACAGGCCACCCCTAAATATGTTTAACCCTTCAGTGGAATGTGTGTGCATTGTACATGTTGTAATATAACTGAAAAGGATTAAAGGTACTGAACACATTTTAGCAAGTGAAGGCTCCTGTGCATAAAGTTCATTTTTGATGTATGCCCATAAATAAATGCTGCGGTCATCTTAAGTCTAGTCTCAAGCCTAGACCATTGTTTTTACTCTGCCTTGCCCTCGCTTCTTTTAAGAAGCAAGTGGAAATCGGCTTATCTTGATAATTCCCTTTGTGTTGTTAAAAACATTCTTCTTACGCAGCAGGGCTTGAACCCGATAGTTCTATCTCATCTTTGGCTTTTAGTGCTCACTTTCCTTCCCAGCCTAACATTGCCATTTTCTCAGAAGCCATGGCTTTAACTAATCCCATGAAATGATGATCCTTCAGTCCTCTTATCACAGCTGTGCCCATGGGATCAAGAAAAGGACCCGCTGGGAGGAAAGTGACCCAAAGCAAGCAGGGAGCAGAATAAAAGCCTAGGAATTCAGTGGTTTAGTCCTACTAATTAATCTATTTGCATCTAAAAGCTCCTTCAAACTGGAGGTCTATCACATCTCATTAACTGACCATGGTAAAAAAAAACACAGCCTGGCTATGCTTTTAAAATAGAACCTTACTTTTGCTTTTTACCAGTTCTTTTCTATTAGCGTAATGAGAAATTCTAAATGCTGGTTGACAGTTAAACCAAGGTTGAAATCCCATTGAAGAAAAAATAAAGGAAAATGCACAAAAAAAAAACCTCTTCATTTCAACACAAACATTATCACTGTGCTGTGCTCAGTGAATGGCACAGCGCAGTGGTAATCATAGACACTGTTCTGATGTAGCAGAGAGCCAAAATTATGGTTCTCTGCTATACATAGCAGAATAGCAAAGCAGAGTTTGGAGAGCTCCTAAAGTAGTAAAACAAATGTGAGAACTAATGTGACTATTAAAGAGGATTAAATATACTGTTGTGCCTGTAGTTGGGGTTTGAACTCTGTTGTGTTCCAAGATAATTTTGAGATAATATTGTGAAACTGGTATAAATGTGTACTAGTGAATAAGTAATGTGGAAGTACTGATTTGTATTAAAATTTGGCCAATGATCACGATGACAGATCCATACCCAAGTCGATGGAAAGGGAGTGTATACTGTAACCTAGAGAAGCAAAATCTAAAGAGACATCAAAGCCTTCCTGTTACAGACACATACCAGGAGGCAGGAAGGGGCACTCTTTGGCAGTCTCAAGAAGAAGCTTTGTCTGACAAGTCTCCTCAAAATGGGAATGCCCCCAACTTCACCTTATTACTTTTCTGTCTTTGGCAAACTTGGAGTAATGAAGAAATATAAAAGATAATGTAATAAAACATTTTTTGTTTTTCTTGTATAGATACGTGTGGTTAGAATGGCTTTTGGCTATAGGTGACAGCACAGAACAGTAGCCCAGCATGAACTGAAATCTAGTGCCTTTTAACACAGTTACCATGCATTTTAAGTTTGATACCTGTTCAGTGGAATTATTTAATCCTTTCTTGTAGCACAGAGGTATTCAGAGCTAGTTCACTTTAAAATTATCTGTGACTGAAAATAATGAGCCTTTTCTTTTGCAAGCAGAGGTTTGTTGCTTGCAAGTCCATTTTGGCCACAACAGAAAATAATTTTGTCTCAGGTTTTTCACTCTATAGGCTGAGTGAAATGAAGATCTCCTCCATTATCTTCTACTAGTGAGCATGTTAGAAACCACTACAGGGATGCAGAATCCACATGCACACTAATGTAAGTGTTATCTTAGGTGGTACTAAACCTGTGAATAATATTGCATGATCATTAGTTCCTACACATAACTCTGAACTGTCCATAATTTGGAGGGACTGTTCCTCTTCTGGAACCAAATCCCCTTGTCCCTCTTTTCTCTGATTATTTATACGATATAACATGCACTCAACCTTTCATCCAACATTGAAACTCATTGCATGTGTTTTTTTTTCTTTTTAAGAAGGCAGTATAAAGGAAAAATAGTGGTAAAAAACACTTGTGGGTTTAGCCAATTAAATTTAGCATATTATCGTAATTCTTCAAGGACCGCTTAACTGGGGACAGAGCAGGTGAGTGTCCTTTTTGCCTAAAAGCAGTACTTTGTGGTAAAAAGTGTCCCTGTTTCCCGGAATATTGGGAAATGCCTACACATGCTAATTATTGAAACCTCTAAAATCATTGGGCCTCCAGGGCTAGAGCTGCATCTTACCAGAAACACTGTAGCAGCTGCAAGCACTATTGCAAGCTTGGAAATGCTGTTGCAAATGTCTAAAACAGATTCCCTGCTGTTCAACTTAAGTGCAGCATTGAACATATTTCCCTCTTGTGGAAAGTGGGAAATCCTCTAAAGCACCAGTAAACACAGATTATATGATACGATCGCTGGGGTTGATTTACTAACCTTATAAACACGCCACGAACAAGTATACACCTCTGTAGTGTGTTCCCTCCCGGCATGATCTATTGGTGGAATCTAGACACCTTTGTAGTGTGCACACACCCAGCAGGTGTGTTGTGCAAAGCCCTGCATGAATTGCAAGGTGATGTTGTGTAAATTAGCTCTACGTTGTGTTGCTTGCGTTGATGAATGTAGGAATGTAAATGCATGAGCTAACCATTTTGTCTAAACTGTGAAGCAGCATTATATATGCATCATGTGCATGATTTTTCCATATACGGCATTAGTGGAAATATGCTTTTAGAGACTTTTTGGTTGATAAATACATTTTGCTGTGTGAAAATCACACGCACCTGGTGCGTGCGTGTGTTTAGGTTAGTAAATCACCCCCTATGACTTGTCTGTGTCCTCTTTATAGTTTCAAAAATGATCTGGTTTAATCTGCATATAAATGTGCAGTGAATCTCCTTCCTACAAATTTTGCTCTGAATCTATGGTAGCAGTGACCCCAAACATCATCCCTAGTTTTAAATATTGCTACTGATGCTTGTATCAGTCATATTAAGGACTAAAATAAGGTCATATAAAAGAGCCTAAAGGAAGGATATAATATTCCTAGTTATTCAAGTATACTTGTGGGAATCAGAGCTTATATAATTAAATACATTTCAACCCTTCAAAAAGTTGAAAATCCTTTTGGTGCCAGTGAAACACTCAAAGGTTTTTCAGCCAAGAAGAAATATGATGCAGCTTTTCGCTCAGTATTCCACAGGGATATCAGTACTCAAGTAGTGGTGGATTCCTATGAGCTAAGGTCCAAGTTGTTTCCTGTTATCCTACACTCATACAGATGAAGAATTTTGGAAACCATTTAATAAAATATGTGTTTAACTTATGCCAATGCAATTTTACATTACAATTGTCTTACAATATCTAGAACAGTCTTCCTTCTGAGACTGCATGCTGGAGGGCTCTGTAGTTTTGCTCTAATGTATACATACACCTTGGGTGGCTGCACACACTTAACCTGTGACCTCTTGCCTTTAATTTGAGCTGTTGCTCTGTTGCTCATCATTTGTTTGAAGACTGTTTCGTTTTATTGGTCTTGACATAAAGACGATCAATCTCAGAGACCTCTTTTCTTTGCCTCCTCTTTCTCTTACCACTGACTAGGACTTAAGGGCCCCTTATCCCTTTCATTACAGGCTGCTTGCCCTGGAACTCACTGTGTTTTAATGCACAACAGGCCACCCCTAAATATGTTTAACCCTTCAGTGGAATGTGTGTGCATTGTACATGTTGTAATATAACTGAAAAGGATTAAAGGTACTGAACACATTTTAGCAAGTGAAGGCTCCTGTGCATAAAGTTCATTTTTGATGTATGCCCATAAATAAATGCTGCGGTCATCTTAAGTCTAGTCTCAAGCCTAGACCATTGTTTTTACTCTGCCTTGCCCTCGCTTCTTTTAAGAAGCAAGTGGAAATCGGCTTATCTTGATAATTCCCTTTGTGTTGTTAAAAACATTCTTCTTACGCAGCAGGGCTTGAACCCGATAGTTCTATCTCATCTTTGGCTTTTAGTGCTCACTTTCCTTCCCAGCCTAACATTGCCATTTTCTCAGAAGCCATGGCTTTAACTAATCCCATGAAATGATGATCCTTCAGTCCTCTTATCACAGCTGTGCCCATGGGATCAAGAAAAGGACCCGCTGGGAGGAAAGTGACCCAAAGCAAGCAGGGAGCAGAATAAAAGCCTAGGAATTCAGTGGTTTAGTCCTACTAATTAATCTATTTGCATCTAAAAGCTCCTTCAAACTGGAGGTCTATCACATCTCATTAACTGACCATGGTAAAAAAAAACACAGCCTGGCTATGCTTTTAAAATAGAACCTTACTTTTGCTTTTTACCAGTTCTTTTCTATTAGCGTAATGAGAAATTCTAAATGCTGGTTGACAGTTAAACCAAGGTTGAAATCCCATTGAAGAAAAAATAAAGGAAAATGCACAAAAAAAAAACCTCTTCATTTCAACACAAACATTATCACTGTGCTGTGCTCAGTGAATGGCACAGCGCAGTGGTAATCATAGACACTGTTCTGATGTAGCAGAGAGCCAAAATTATGGTTCTCTGCTATACATAGCAGAATAGCAAAGCAGAGTTTGGAGAGCTCCTAAAGTAGTAAAACAAATGTGAGAACTAATGTGACTATTAAAGAGGATTAAATATACTGTTGTGCCTGTAGTTGGGGTTTGAACTCTGTTGTGTTCCAAGATAATTTTGAGATAATATTGTGAAACTGGTATAAATGTGTACTAGTGAATAAGTAATGTGGAAGTACTGATTTGTATTAAAATTTGGCCAATGATCACGATGACAGATCCATACCCAAGTCGATGGAAAGGGAGTGTATACTGTAACCTAGAGAAGCAAAATCTAAAGAGACATCAAAGCCTTCCTGTTACAGACACATACCAGGAGGCAGGAAGGGGCACTCTTTGGCAGTCTCAAGAAGAAGCTTTGTCTGACAAGTCTCCTCAAAATGGGAATGCCCCCAACTTCACCTTATTACTTTTCTGTCTTTGGCAAACTTGGAGTAATGAAGAAATATAAAAGATAATGTAATAAAACATTTTTTGTTTTTCTTGTATAGATACGTGTGGTTAGAATGGCTTTTGGCTATAGGTGACAGCACAGAACAGTAGCCCAGCATGAACTGAAATCTAGTGCCTTTTAACACAGTTACCATGCATTTTAAGTTTGATACCTGTTCAGTGGAATTATTTAATCCTTTCTTGTAGCACAGAGGTATTCAGAGCTAGTTCACTTTAAAATTATCTGTGACTGAAAATAATGAGCCTTTTCTTTTGCAAGCAGAGGTTTGTTGCTTGCAAGTCCATTTTGGCCACAACAGAAAATAATTTTGTCTCAGGTTTTTCACTCTATAGGCTGAGTGAAATGAAGATCTCCTCCATTATCTTCTACTAGTGAGCATGTTAGAAACCACTACAGGGATGCAGAATCCACATGCACACTAATGTAAGTGTTATCTTAGGTGGTACTAAACCTGTGAATAATATTGCATGATCATTAGTTCCTACACATAACTCTGAACTGTCCATAATTTGGAGGGACTGTTCCTCTTCTGGAACCAAATCCCCTTGTCCCTCTTTTCTCTGATTATTTATACGATATAACATGCACTCAACCTTTCATCCAACATTGAAACTCATTGCATGTGTTTTTTTTTCTTTTTAAGAAGGCAGTATAAAGGAAAAATAGTGGTAAAAAACACTTGTGGGTTTAGCCAATTAAATTTAGCATATTATCGTAATTCTTCAAGGACCGCTTAACTGGGGACAGAGCAGGTGAGTGTCCTTTTTGCCTAAAAGCAGTACTTTGTGGTAAAAAGTGTCCCTGTTTCCCGGAATATTGGGAAATGCCTACACATGCTAATTATTGAAACCTCTAAAATCATTGGGCCTCCAGGGCTAGAGCTGCATCTTACCAGAAACACTGTAGCAGCTGCAAGCACTATTGCAAGCTTGGAAATGCTGTTGCAAATGTCTAAAACAGATTCCCTGCTGTTCAACTTAAGTGCAGCATTGAACATATTTCCCTCTTGTGGAAAGTGGGAAATCCTCTAAAGCACCAGTAAACACAGATTATATGATACGATCGCAATCATTTTACATACCGTAATCCTTTTTGCAATACTTGCGTAGATTCATGTGCACACGGCTGTGGGATGGCTTACAGTAGGACTGGCATTCAGAGACTAAAAAAAAATAGATATTAGCAAATCTAAATCCCACTGCACAGTAAAACGTTTAAACTGCAATAATACTACAGTATAGATACAATTTTTATATACCTGATCCTGTTTTCCATTCCACAGGATATGCTGCTGTTGTAGTCATTTCCTCTTGAATCCCTAATTTAGGAATATAAATATGTTAATGTTAAATTATTGCAATAAAATGTATTGGTTAAAAAATGTATCATAATGTGTGTACATGATCTGTTTTCTATGAAACCAAATTTTTGTGTACCTTTCAAGCACACAGTCAGTGAACCCTTAAGTTTTTCCTCAACCACTAGAAGCACAGCAGAGTCATGTTGAATAAGCAGACAAAGTATAGGGCTATGTACAATTGTTTGGTACTAACACTGTAGATTGTTGATCCAGGGAGTAACTGATTACCTCAAATTAGACCACTTTTTATGAGGGCTTTTTGCCTAAGTGTGGTGTTAAGTAGGGCTTTTTGCCTATGTGAATTGGCCCGGGTTTGATTCGCCATTCATCGTATATTCAGGAAAAAGCAAACTTGAATCCAAACCCCATTGAAGTCAATAGGAGGTGAATCTTGAAAATCAGTTTTCTGGGTGAATAGGCAAGTCTTTCTCAAAGAAAGGGCATAACGTGCTGGGCATTGCTATGGGGGACATGAACCAATGCATCACCTTCCTGCCTATGCTGTCAGAGGTTTTTGAAAACTAGTTTTCTATTTTGACTGACAGACCATAAATTCATGAAAAACTGTTTTGTTTGTTTTTTTGGCTCCAATACATTACATTTGCATAAAAGACAACCTTAAAAACTACCCTCATTCTAATAAACACAAGGCTTACTGTATTACACAGATTAAGTTTACTTACGGACACAAGGCATATGGGGGGATCGGCTTTGCTGGTATCCTTGAGCACAGCGATTGCATGTTAGGCCAGTCACTCCAGTCTTGCAAGGACATTGACCAGTTGTTTGATTGCACATGGCATTGACAGCACCTATTGGGTGACACTGGCAAGCTAAAATAAAAAAATTAAAAAGTTATTTATCTGTAGTTTTGTATCCTTTTGAAAGCAATTTTAACACACACACAGTTATCTAAAACAGTCTGCATTTTTAGACAGTATGTTTGGAAACTCTACATTTTTGCATAATTTGTAAATATAAAATAGAATAAATAGACCTAGATTTTATTGTTTTAGGAAGCGTCAAACTTTACCAATTAGATCCTGGTATATGATATTAAAGTGTAACTGTTCTTTTAGTGTAGTTACACTTATTCTTGCGTCTTATACTCACTTGTCCGCTGTCAAACAAAATCTTAGATGTGTAGCCTAGTCAGTGCTCCAAAGTTGCTTGTCAAAATCTTCTCTACCTGGTAATCTCCATTTAGTTCTATGGAGATTTTTGACTCCATATTCCAAGTATGAACTCTTCAAAGGACTGAATGGAGAAAACAGCATGCATAAGCAGGCCAGGTGGAGAAAATTCTAACAAGAGATCTAATTGCATAAGGGACAGGAGAGTATAAGATAGGGACAGGTGCTAGAGTCTGGAGGTCTCAAAAATAACTGTAACTTCACTAAAACCGGAAGTATCATTTTTTGCTAGAACTATTCAAATCTTTACAGACTGACCTGAGAAAACTGACTTTGGACATCAAGAGTAGGGCAGATGCACAAACACAATCTGACTGCCAAAACATCTTGACTCTGAAAGGTCTTTTCTTAAACAAGCATTCTTTGATCACTGAAGTGTGTTTGCTTATAGCTATGCAGAACATACAGGGAAAAGCAAGATGGCATCCGCTTGTACCATCTTATCCAAAATGGCAGAGGCCATCTGCTTCATGATTGGTCTGCTAGGGATGATCTGCTGGTTCTCGTAAACGTAATGTCCTAATTGGACAACGATGCTCAATCTATGGGTATCCATAGAAATCATGGGTATCCATAGAAATCCTGTGATTGCCTTGGTTATAATTATACTATGGACACTAGATGTGATTAGCATACTTTATTGTGGACAGATAATAAAGCGCATATAGGCTGCATGCCACTAATTAATATGCAATTTTAATTTGTGTAGCTTTGGAAATCACGGTCTGAGTTTTACTGTAGATGCATGTAGAAGATTTAGGAATGCATTATACAGTACATATTTCACAAAAAGGATTGTTGTTTTTTTCCATATAATGCATGGAATATGATAGATGGCCTCTTTTTAATACAAACAGTGCATTTAAGAGTACTTTATTTTAAAATAAATGTACATTATTCAATCCTTGTCTTGGCAGTAGAGCTTTTTATAGAAATAAGGCTTTGTTTGTAACACTTGCGAAAGAGCCTTCATGTTAGGGATCACAGTAACATTCTTATTTATCAGAAAAAAAATTGTTTGCACAATACACATGGGACAGTGTCGGATGATATAAAAATGATGTTTCAATGTTCAAGAAACTCTCATGCATATTTTGCATGACTGTTAAATTATGTATATATGGAAAAACAGACATGCAAAAATGTAGTTCTTTAACAAACTATAGATAAAAATTTCAGCTTCACAATTCAGTTTTTTGGGTAATTTCAGACCTTTTTTTCTAAAGATCTGTATGACTCAAAATCGCCTTTTACTTCTCTGGGTATTTTAAACCTGAAAAATCTTACCTGAAAAATCTTATCACTACAAATGCTTTGACATGAACCTAAACACAATTAGAACAGTGAAAGTTGACACCTGTACTTACGCTTACAGGCTTTTCGGCTAGATATAGCTTTGCTCAAGTCGCGTTTGTAACCCTGATTACAGTAGTGACAATGACGCCCGGCAGTGTTATGTTTACAGTTTAAGCATATGCCTCCACTCTTCCTACCAGACAGCTTGTAGAGTTCCATATTAAAGCGACAGCGATGAGAATGTTGATTGCACTCGCAAGCTAAAAGGGAGAATCAGAGTTAAGCTTTATTCTTTAGTATCACTAACAATATATTGTTTGAACAAACATGATTATTAAATAAGACTTCTGGATATAACAATAATAGGAGAAACAGCTTTAGGGCATATTCACACTGAGTAACTGCATGCTATACCACAATGCACATCACAGGCATTGGTGCGATGTGGTGACACCCCATTGCACTTTGCCAATGGAAGAGCATTGTTGTACCATTTTGTGGAAGCACATACTATTGCACATTAGTGGATTGTCATGTGCTGTGCTGCAATTCACATCTGTTAGAAGTATGCAAGTTTTGTAATGCGCGTTACTACAATACAACAATACATAGTGAAAATGGGTCCCTAAAAAAGTTACAGTACTTTGAGCTTGTTTTTATTCTGATATTGTGCCATGCTGGTGACAGACACTCATATGTTATTGCATATTTTTATCAGGGTTATTCACAAAAGGGCGAAGGGTTTGGAGAAGGGAGGAGAAGTGAATAATCTAGGACAACATAGCTGATTTGGAAAAATTCTCCAATTCAGCTCACTTTCCAGTTCAGCCAAGTTATCCTAGATTGTTCATTTCTCCTGCCTTCTCCAAACTATTCACCTTTTGGGAATAACCCTGTATGTGTGTAAATAATAATAATTATTATACAGGATGTATATAGCGCCCAACAGTTTGCGCAGCGCTTTACAATATAAGGGAGACATTACAATCACAATACAATTCAAGAGAAGATGGTAAGGAGGGCCCTGCCCGTGAGGGCTTACAATCTAAAAGATGCTGGTTTTATTTAAAAATTGATCACTTTTATATAAAATCATCTGTGTTTGATGGATATGATGCATAGTGTAAGACCTTAAAAGCCCCATATGTTTACTATTTTATTTGTTTACACTGGTATCTGGATAGCTGACTACATACTGTTCATGTGAAATTTGCATATTTCGGCTCCGTTCACACATTAGCAGCTTATACGCGCGGAAACGCACTAAAATAAAAACAAATACATTCTAATCTATCTTGTTTAAACTTGGGTTGTACACTATATGATAATGTACTGTTTCTCAGTCTTGTCCCTCTAGTCTGGCCCTTATCTCCAGTTTGCCATCTTTTCAAAGCAATAGAAGCTGCCCATAAAGTCCTATGTATAATCCTGCTCCAAAGGAACATATTAAAAGAGTTACTAGTTTACAAATTCAACAAGTGACAATAGTGATGAGCCGAACACACCCGTGTAAGGTTCGTATTCGAACATTCGAACGGCCAAAATGTTTGAATACGAACTCAAACTCAATGAGAGTCGAACGTTAGAAAATGAATGTCCCCTTTAAGAGGGCTTATATGCAAGTTATTGGCCAGACATGGTGTATGTGGGTCCGCGGTGTTACACCCCTTTCCCATCCAGGCCATTTTTCAGTATTCAGCGCTGCAGTACTTTGACTGACATTTATTCCGTCATGCAACGCTGTACTGAAATTAATTTTATACCATTTTTTAGGGACAGATGGAGGTTTCTTTTGGTGGTATTTCATCACCACTGCAGTTTTAATTTTTTACTGCATTAAGGAAAAATGATCGAAATTAAAAAAAAACAGTTTCCCCTATTTTAAATGATAAAACATTTATTATTACCCAATTTTTTGGTAAAATATAAAAGACAGGGTCACGTTGGGTAAAAATACACTAAACATGTCTAACCTTAAAATTGCGTGCGTGCGCAAAACCTCAAAAAACTATAATACCCAAAATTGGTCAGAGGCTACGCTTTAAAAGCTTTTACCGCTCATCAGTTTAGTGTTATCAGTGATTGATGGCCCTAAAATTATTGCTCTCATAGCGACGTTCTCGGCGATATGTAACGTGTGTAGCGCAATTGTCGTTTTCACGCGCTGGTGCACCAGACACATATTTACGTTTATATGTGCGTAAACGTGGGGGTGGAGAACTTAAGAATTTTTGGGGGGTTTTTTTAAACTTTTTTTATATGTGACTTATTTTTTTGAAACTTTTTTTATTTATATTTATTTTTTTACACTTATTGTTATTGCTATTTCATAGGGGGATAACAATCCCCCTATATAATAGCAAAGGCACACTGACAGGTTTATGGAGACATTAGGGATCTGCAGGACCCCTAATGTCCCCTGGGGACCCTAAAAGAAGCTGATGAAGCAGAGATCTGATTCATCAGCTTCTTCTCTCTGGCTATAGCAGTCGCTCCCGAGCCGCAGATTGGGCAGCATATCCCGGGATTGAAGGTGAGGGGTCAGGAGGGGGTGCGATGGCAGCACTCGAGGGAGGGGGGGCACATAGCCAGCACATATACACGATCGGCAGGCTATAGAGCCGCCGATCAGATATATGTGAAACAGCCGGTAACGGCTCTTTACATTGGGTGGTTTTTTTCTGCTGGTACGCGCGCTAGGAGACGGCAACCCACCAATGCGACATTTTTTTGCAACGGGCGGACGGCAACTGGTTAAAGGAGTTTCTGTAGGATGTATAAAACCTGCTGCAGCAAAACTGACATTTCTATAAAAAAATCAAATAATTTTCTTTAAGTGTGCAGTTCCCCTCCCCAAATAATACCAGACCCTTTAGGTCTGGTAGAAATGTTAGGAGGGACCAATTTGTTTAAAAAAACTGTGTAGGGTTCCTCCTAAAAGTCATACCAGGCCCTTAAGATCTGGTAGGAATATTAAGGAGGGACCCCATGTGCAAAAAAAGAAGTGTTTGGGGTTCCCCCTAAAAGTCATACCAGGCCCTTAAGGTCTGGTAGGAATTTTAAGGAGGAAACCCACCTCCAAAAATGGGGGGATAAAACATGGGGTCCCCCCTAAAATTCCATACCAGACCCTTGATCCGAGCATAGGCCTGGCAGGGCCGGAAAGGGGAGGGACGAGCGAGCGCCCCCCCCCCCTACCAGGCCACATGCCCTCAGCACTGGGAGGGTGTCCCCGTGCCGACGGGGACAAGGGTCTTGTCCCCACAACCCTGACCCGGTGTTTGTGGGGGTCTGCGGGCAAGGGGGCTTATTTGCATCGGGGTACCCCCTTTAATTAAGGGGGCACCCAGATGCCACCCCCCTCCCTTGTGAATGAGTAAGGGGTACTGGTACCCCTACCCATTCACTAAAGGGTTTAATAAAATAGTTATTAAAAAGTCCAGACTTTTGATAAAATCCTTTGTTTGGAAAAAAAAAGAAAAGACATGTTTTTGACAAGTCTTTTATTTAAAAAAACAATGGATCCACCGACGTAATCCAGGGTCAATCACGGCATCCAGCATTGTCCATGACGATGACAAAATTGTGTTGACAGCTAGCTCCGCCCAATTGTGTAGTTTAACGACATCTGATAGGCAGGCCATGATTGGGCAGAGTCATCATGACTTTGCCCAATCATGGCTCTAATTCAATACTGAGCCCTGATTGGCAAAGTCTTGCACCTTACCTGTGGTCAGGTGCAAGAATTTAACAAATCAGAGCTTCAGAGGGCATTTTGCCCTATGGAATGTCCTTCGGTCGAACAAACCGCGAACATCCCATATAGTTCGGCGTATGGCGAACGCTCGAACTGCCGATGTTCGAATCGAACACTCGACTCATCCCTAGTGACCAACACCCTCACTATGTATCAGTGCTGTTTCCTTCAGTATATTATCTGATTGATGGCACAGAACGTTAAAAAAAATCACTTGAGCTTATGGAAGTTGAAGTATATTATTTTCATGGTGAGTTTTGGTATTCTGAGAAAAGTGCACACACACATTAAAAGAAAAAAATTATCTTCATGTATCTAACAGATAGAAACACGAAAACACTATCATAAGTGAATTTATTCTCAAAGAAGGTCTATAGTTCTTTTTTTCTTTTGAACTTATGTGTGTTCATACTGGATGTAAGCATTGCCTACTGGAGCTAAAATTGTTGACGAGGAATGATGGATCTAGGTTCCTTAATTGACTTGTTTGATGAATAATGCATTGTAAAAATTCATTATAAACCAAACAATGAAAATTCATTGTACCCTCTGTGTTCTTTATTCTTTCATGCTCTGTGACAGGAACACTAAAAGATTAAGGAAATGTAGTTGAAATCAATTATTCTTACCAGTCTCAGCAAAGCTCCCCTGCTGTAGGATTTGTGCATTATACTATAGGTGGAAGAAGGGCATGTTTCATTGCAGTGGAAAATCAATAGCTAAGTCATGGAATGTATCTTATTTTTTCCCTGACCTCCAGCTCTTGCGGTACATTAAATTAGTAGCTATAAGTTAAGAAGCAACATGTAAATCTTCCTTGGTTTCAGAAGCCTGAAGAGTAAGTGCAGGCACAAGAGGTGAAAGCTAGAGTTTGTTCATCTATTGAGTTTTTACATGACAAGTATAATGGGTATTCTGCAGAGTTCTCAGCTGTTAATTGTCTGCCTGGACTATTGCCATGCAGTTTAGTATTGTAAAATTATTTATAAGTGCTCAGCATGACCCTGAATCTCCTTTAATGTAATTTAGTTCTTTCATTTTTATGTACCAGTTCCAATGAATGTTGTGAGAATTATCGATCGAGTACACTTCTGATAAATAAACGAACACGGCTCTCTTAACCCATGATAGCTTTATGTCTGTAGAAGACTAATATGAAGGAACATGAATTGTAAAATAGATCAAAAGGGATTATCCATGTAGGAAAGTATTTCAAGGCAGATGTAAATGTCAGGATGGATTTAATAGTAGACATGTTTCTTTGGATATTTTAAAAAGGAACTTCAGTGTCGTGGAAATTAACAATATTTTAAAAATGAGGAGCTGTTAATACGAGTAAATACATTTGACCAAATATACATAATGGAGAGTAGGGATGAGGTTCGGCGTAACTGCCACCATGGGTTCTCAGTTTTTCTCTGAAATGTTACCCATCCCCCTTTCAGTAAAAGGGTGGGCTCACAGCAGCCATATTTTCAATGTATGTTAAAGTTGTAAAGTAGAACTGTACAGAGAGAAAATGTTTTTTTTTTATTTCTATTTGTGTGTTTTTTTCATTTTGGCACTGTAACTCCTAGCAGTTCCCGGCTTCCCAGGCTTTTGTTTGACAATTGATTGCCTATTATTCCCTATTATGGCCAGAAATGAATGGGGGACTTCAATGGGGTTAGCTGCAAAGTTTACAATCTTCGATTCAAATTTGCAAAATTGTGAATCGAATCCAGGTTTCCATACTGAATTATTTCAACTAGGAGTTATTAATGTTTTACCACTAAGCCTTTTTATGCCCAATGCTATTTTATGTCAGGAAAGCTCTGACCAGTGAGTGGGTGAATCTTAAATGCTCAAAACCTTAAAGTGGTCATCATGAAAACATGTTTAGACCTACAATGCTTGTTGAAGTAAAAGCTGCATACTTACCTCTTTGGTGGTCAGCAAGTAATACTAATAATAGTGCCGCTCATTGGTGTCACTTGCAGGTCAACAGCAAGTCACAGAATGCCTGGAATTGCATCCACTGCCTGCCCTGCACATTACTGTTATGTGGGGATACCTACAAAGCCATGGGTCCAGTTGTCTGCAGGTCTGCAGAAACACACTCATGTTGATAATGTGCCACTTCCCTGCACAAACCCAAGATGCAGAGTAATGCAGAGGTAATGAAAGCTCACAAGGTTCCTCCTTTGCTCTGTTGTGTCACATGACACACCCGTGGAAAGCCTGGTAGAACTTTTTCTCAGTCTGTTCCAGGTGTTGCACTGCATCTAAGGTCTAGCAGGTATTTGAACAGAGGGAGAGGAAGATATTTTTGCTGGAGGTTAGGGAAATACTTGCTGGGTATGTGGGGAGATATTTGCTGGTTGAGAAGGTGATTTTTTTTCTGAACGAGAAGAAATGTTTTTTTTTGCTGGGGGATAGGCAGATCGTTGGTGGGGATAGGGTAGGAGAGGAATTTTGCTTGGGGAGAAGGAGTGGGGAGGAATTTTTGCAATTGCCCATTTGTTGTTTAATATGGTCATGTTTGCCCATTTGTTGCCCACATATTTCAATGTTTGCCCATTTATGGCCTGCATATTCTAATTATCCCCCATTTGCTACCCACATGTTTTAACAATTGACTGTTTGTTACATCGTTACATAGTATTTGAGGTTGAATAAAGACATTAGTCCATCAAGTCCAACCTATTAGGATCTCATTCTAGGAGTACCTGTACCCCTGTATATTACGGTCCCTTAAGAAATCGTCCAAAAGTTTCTTGAACAATTCCACATTATTTGCTGAAATCACCGCCTGTGGCAGTGAGTTCCAGACCCTAACTGATCTTACTGTGAAGAACCCCCTTCGCCCCTTGTGCTGGAATTTTTTTTACACCAATTTTAGGTGGTGGCCTCTAGTTTTTGTAATGGAGTTAATTTTAAACAGTTTATCGCTAATGTTGCTACCACCATTGAACATTTTGTACATGGAGATCATATCCCCCCT